CTAATGCAATGTATTCCAGTAGTTTCGGGTGCTGTCTTTCTCTAGTTTGAAAAGCAGAAACAAATCTCTGTGCTGGAAGGAGGTGACAGTGTTTATCTTATAGCATGTATTTTTAAATAAAGCACCGCAGAATATTCCTCTGGCTGTATGCGTATACTGAAAGAGATACTAACACCTTTCAGGTGTTAGCAGCTCTGCTTTTGCTCTGAGGCACAGGAAGCTGTTGAAGTGTTTGGCCAACAGTTTGCCTTGTGTCTGGCCAGTGTACAAAGCCACAGTGCACATCTCTTGACAGCACATAGCCTCTCCAGTGCGTTGTAAGGCCTCTGGTCAAGGTGCATGGGATGGGCATAAAGCCAAGGGGAGTGAAGAACAGTGGCTGCACGTCAACAGCACAACATGGTATCGGACCCTGGTAGAATGTCTTGTGGCAGGGCAGTGGGTATCCTGGGTACTCTAAATGTAGGAGAAGATATCCAAATTAAGCACACTGTTCCCTAAAGCATGGAAACCATTTTTCTTTTTTGTAGTAGCAAAGACATTCTTAATATTCCCCTCTGATAGAAATACCCAAAATAGCTAATTTTATATCATTTAACACATTCCAACTACTGACTCACTTTCCACCAGTCTCCTGCAGTTTTCATTTCAGGTGGGAATTCTCACTTTGTCTCTCTGCACTTCTGTTTGCTTTTATGAGGACATTCATTTTCTTTTCCTTCTAACCCATTTAAAAGGTGTATCAGGAAAGTACAAGTGTTTTTACTGAGATTTTAAACTGTCCAGAGGAACGTTTTGCACAAATGCTCAGAGAAGGAAAATGTTCTCATCGTGTTGTCCGTTTTCTTCCTCCAACCTCCTTCATTCTAATGTGCAGTACAAATTTCAAGGAAAATTAATGCTGTTAATTCTTTCTAGTTGTGACAGATATCTCCGAAATATGTCAGCCCAATGGACAGCTAATAGTGTAACAAGAATCTTTGAGTACTAGCAGCAAATTATCTGTAGATAATTTTCACAGGTTTTTGGTTTTTTGTTTTGTTTTGTTTTGTTTTTTTTAAGAGCCAAGTGTTCTTTTAAGCTTAGTAAATTCTCAACCTGCCAAGCTAAACATTCGAGACAAGGAGCTACTTGTCCGATGCAGTTCTGCTATGGTGGTACACCCTGAGCATTCAAGCAAGGCATGCAAGGCTGTGAAATGAGCCCTCAGCATGTCCAGGGCTGCTGGGGCATGCAGAGCCTTCACTCCCTTTCTACGCCATGCCCCTGTGACATGACAGGTACCTCCAGGGCCTTATTTTAAAATTGTTTTGTGGTTGTGACTTTGTCTGTAAGACGGTTTTCACTCCTGTGGGGAGAACAGGTGTGGTTAAGATCTTGTTCTACACTTGAAAGTCTATCTATGCAAGAACGCAGCTCTGTCCTCTTGTTGCTCATGATGTTTCTGCAGCCTCTGTATACCAGGTGGTCCTTCCTTCTCCCTCGTCCCTTTGCATTTGCAATCCCAGATGAAGCCTGGAAGCTCCTGAAGGTCTCCAGGATTGGAAGAACAGCAGATCTGCCATAGATTGTGGAGGTGGCTGTGCTCCTCTTCCCTTCTCAGTCCCCAGGTGGTGACATTTAGGTCTTGGCCTCTGGTTCTAGTCAGGGAGCAGTTCTGTTTTCTGAGCTACTTGGAGTTTTGACACTACACAATAAATCCATCCCCAAGGCAGGGCTCAGGAAGTGACTGACATCAACACCGCTCTCCTGGAATGGTGAGGCAGGAGCAGGCAGGGTTTTCTTCCCCCTCTCAGGGGCTGGTGCAGCTGCTGTCCTCAGCCCACTGGTGGGCATAGTGGACATGCACAAGAAGGCTAATGTGTATTCTTGAGTAAAATGGCCTTTCAGATTTCCAAATGCAGTTTTATGTAAGCCAGATGCCTAACTGATGCTTTTCCTTACTTCCTCCCCATTTTACAGAATTGCAGAGGTTGGAAGGGACCTGAAGAGATCATTTAGTCCAACACCCCTGCTAAAGCAGGTTCCCTGCTGTAGGTCACAAAGGAAGGTGTCCAGATGGATCTAGAATATAATATCCACATAGGAGACTCCACAATCTCTCTGGGCAACCTTTTCCAGTGCTCTGTCACCCTTATTGTAAAGAAGTTCTTCTGCATGTTATTACAGAACTTCCTATGTTCAAGTTTTAGGCCATTACTCCTTCTCCTATTGCTACACACCACCAAGAAGAGCCTGGCCTCATGCATTTGCCTCCCACCTCCCTTTAGGTACTTATAGACATCAGTCTTCTTTTCTCCAGGCTGAACAGACCCAGCCTTTCCTCACATGGGAGGCGGTCCAGGCCCTTAATCATCTTTGTGGCCCTTTGCTGGACTCCTTCTAAGAGATCTGTCTTTTTTGATCCAGGGAGCCCAGAACTGGACACAGTAGTCTAAATGTGTTTCACCAGAGCAGAGTAAGAGGGGAGGATCGCCTCTCTCGACCTGCTGGCCACACGCTTTTTAATGCACCCCAGGATCCCATTGGCCTTCTCGGCCACCAGGGCATGTTTCTGGCTCATGGCCAATCTGTTATCCACCAGGACACCCATGTTCTTCTCCGCAGTGCTTCTTTCCACCAGGTCAGCCCCTAACCTGTACTGATGCATGTGGTTATTCCTCTCCAGGTTCAAGCATTCTTGAGTATAATGAATTTTTCTGCACTTGGGTGGATTAGGATGTGATACCCATTTCCTTCTCAAATTATGAATAGATAAGGGCCTCTCACAGCACTGAGCAGGCAGCAACAGTGCTCTTATCAAAGCTGAGGGCAGGCAAACTAACAAATTGCTCAAACTGTGCCATCTGAGCAGCAGAAAGAAACAAGATGAAAAAAGAAAGACTAAATCCTAAAAGCTGAGCAGGATGGCTTCTCTTTCTCACTCTTAAATTGAACACATTTATGCTTTATTTTTTTCCCTCTGTCCCTTAATTTCTGTTTTCAGCTTCATTAAAATGCCGGAAATTGGTGGGTTTGGAACCTACAGAGCCTTTCATTTGTCAGGATTGTTTTATTCCTGAGATTAAATAAGCACAGCTCCTTTAGAGAGGAATTCCTGCTGATAACTAAGCCAGATTATCTGGTTTTTGCTGGCCTCTGCCATAGGCACAGTTCACAGCACTGATTTTACAAGAAGGATCTCTGCACCGCTACATGCCCCGGCGTGCTGCCAGGGCTGGCTTTCCCTGTACACCTCTGCTCCCAAACCTCAGTGGGCTCCTGAAAATTGTTCTGTGTCATTTTTCTTTTCTATATTCCGTAACTGCTCTTCATTTCCTTAATGAGCCCAACCTGCAAAATGAGAAAGATGTTGCCTGTAGCACATCAGACTCAACCTGCCTATCTATGAGCAATCAATTGTCCATCCCTGTGCTGCTCTGCCCTTGGATAAAAGACTGTATCTGTAGCGGAGCATGCCTGTGCTTTGTCCTGTACTGTTTGTACCTGCAAGGACTGTTGTGTCAATGCCAAGAGTAGGTTCAACCAGCAACATACACTTTACTAAGACAAGATTATACATACATCCATTTAAAAAAGTGAGATTTTCTTGAATGTATTTGCACAGGAAATTGTAATTTAAAACATTTTTCCTTTGCACAGTTGTTTGTTCACTTGCACCTCTGTGATTATAGCCACCTCTGTTCTGTTAAAAAGGGCATGTATCTTTGCCGTCTATAATCCGTGTGTGTATGAAGCCTGACAATTAAGGCCAGACTAATTCCATGTATTTGCAGAAGCAGCCCTACAGATGGCTGTTAATTTCCCTGGGCATCCTTATAAGCCAAATATGTTTCTGTTATTTTATTTGCAAAATAAACACTATACACTTAATTATATTTGATGTCATAATTTCAGGTTTTTCTTTGGCTTACAAGGGCTTAGGGTCCTCAGGCTAGCTGTCTTGATTATCCAACAGCAGTTCTGTAGCTGGAGGTAGTGAATTATGCTTGAAAACATGCACACCAAATGCAGAGCGTTTTCTATAATAAAGTGAAAAACACACCTGTACACTGAAAAAATGTGGGTTTTTTTTCTAAAATGGAAAGCGTGAAGTGCCATTCAAAGCATCTGATATTTTATCTTCCTGTTGAATGAATGAGAAATGTCTGCACTCCAGAGGAAAATCATGAGAAACACCACGTGCAGTGGAGCAGGGCAGAAGTTGCTTCCACTCTGAATGTTTCCTTAATTTCCATTAACATTTGAAGTAGTTCTAAGGGCAGAAGTGACTTCCAGCAGGCCGTGGGGCAAGTAACAGTATGCTTGGGGCTGAGCCCTGGTCATTCTTAGCCCTCTCTGCCCAGGGGACCAGGGGCATGCTCATCTCTGACTGTGACCCCAAGTCCTGTGATGAAAACCCCCAAAACTCATCCCTGATTGGCAGCCCACAGCTGGATGCAGGCAGCCAGGTCCCAGCAAATGCCTGAAGCAAACCACTGTCCACAGGGCTTGTTTTACAGAGAGTTGTCTTTCGATCCCATCTCAGTGATTGTTTGTCTTGGGCAGCAACTGTGTAACAGAAAATTTGGAGGTCCGAAATATGTATGGCATAAATAAAGTTCTTCAGATGAAGTTTCTGCAATGGAAAAAAAAAAAAAAAAAGAAAAAGAAAAAAAAAAAAAAAAAAAAGTTTCCTGTACTTTATATTGCATATTTTACAATGTGGTGCTCACTGAAGGAAGCAGGTAATGATCTGATGACTGTTTACAGGATTGAAAGGTACTTCGTGTGCATAACAAATTTGTGTCTCTCAGGTTTTCATATTTATGCTTTGACTGTTCCTCATCAGGTTTCTGTATGCATTTCTGGAGGGGTCTTTTCTGGTCTGGTCCAAGCGCTGCTGAACTGCTCTGATTTGTTGGATGTGTCACTGTAGTTGCAATGCTTTGCTGCTTTTTTTTTTTCTTTTCCATTTTTATGCTCTGAAAGTAACATCTTTTTCTTTATCTTTTTTAAAGATAAAGACATTCCCTGCTGATACATCTAATCCTTTTTTCGATCCTTTTACAACAGTACCACAGTTTTCTGTAAGTAGAATGTGCAACTGAAAAGTTGTGTATTTAACACAATTCCAAGGAATAATTTAACAGTATTAGAAACATATGCGTTAAACAGTCCTCAAAAAAAGATAAACTCCAAGCAGACTTTAGAGTGCAAATCTGTTAAATATTCCCATTATGCAAATAATGAACGTGCCTGCATTCAGATATTGGTGCATACTGGACAGAGGACTAAGAGTCAACTGATGAAGCTCACTGCTAATGCAGCCAGTCCCCAAACACTGCTCCGCTCAGAGCTGCTGAGGGCAGCACAAGCTGCGAAGCTCAACCGCATCTTTCCAAGGGTGTGGGATAGATGACTTAGTCCTCTCTCTAGCGACTGCATGGCCTGCTGCCTGAAACTGCCTGCTGTGCCATCACAAAAAGAAGCCGGATTTTCACCGAATTTGCATCTGAATTTTGAGGAAGAATTATAGTTAGCATGTTGATGACTACAGTGGTATCCTTGTTTAAACTCCTGCGTTTACTTAATAACCCGAGTCAAATATTAGACTTAATTCTTACTAAACTTTCAGAGATGGTGGGATTTAGAGCTTTTGGTAAACTGTGTGTGAGTATGAACAATCATTAGACAACTCGAAAAGAAGCCCAATCCAAGCCCTACTTTAAAGGTAGAACATTATGTAAAAAGTGTGACAAAATAATCTACAGGTAATTCAGAGAATTTTAAAAGATTTTTGAGCACTTAATATAATGCAATATGGGATGTGGAACTCTGATTATAACCCTTCCCATTCTTTCCAGTATGAGGAGTGGTTCTGGTTTGTAAGCAACGTTCCCTGCCTCTAGTAGTAAACCGCAGCAACTTCTGTTTTGTCAAATTACATCGACAGAATCAAGCATTTCAGACTTCAACCATAGCTTTTACTGCTAGCAGCAATCTATATCCAGCACAGAATCAGAGTAGTGTAACTCACTGCTGGGCCATATGCACTGACTGGCTGCACTTACTGATTTAAAGAAAGAGGCTTTTCTTTCACAATAAACCTGATCATAGGACTGGATCTAAATGCTGCTTTTCCCCAGCAAAGTATTTGAAAGGTAGAGTTAGTCCTGCAGCTGGATATCACTCAAGTATCCTCCAGACATAGTCCCTGATGGCTACCAGCATTTCTGACTCCAGTTCCTTGTTTTGTTTTCCTTTTCCCTGCTTCCCCTTCACTTTTTCTTATTTATTCATTTATTTTGCTTGGAACAGAACATTGAAATGTTATTGAGGTCATGGCTTCTACTTTTGTGGTGTATCTGCAATGATGTTGAGGAAAAAAAGCACAGAATTTTGTTTCCTATAATCTTTAAAAAGAAGGTTCATGCCAGGAACCCCTCTAAATTTCAGAAATTTCAAGTAGGCTTAATGGCCGTACTGCCAGTGGGTAGAAGTCACACAGACTTAAGTTAATGGAATTGTATCTGTTTAGACCAGCAAAATATTTTTTTCAAACATATGTATATATGTAAATGCATACATATATAAAAAGATGCATGGGATATGTACAGTAAAACCATTATCCCAAGCAAACACACTTTAGGACTCAGGACAAATCTTTAGCATGTGTAATTTGCCATAGCACTGCTGTTTCAGTAGGGCTGGGAGAACTTACATCAGCTTCACAGGTAGTGCTGCTGCTCATACTCATCGCTTAGAGGATGGAATACCAAAGTGATGTCCCTGTAGCCTGTCAGGCTGAGCTCTAAAAGATGAGTGAGGGAGGAGTCTGAACAGGATATATTAGCTAGTATTTACACATAAGATTGACTGGGATTAAGGAAGGAGACTTTCTTTAGTTGCTTTTACTCTTTCCATTTTCTTAATTTCATGGAATTGATGGAATTCCCGTTGCTTCAGAGCTTCTCTTGGAGCACATCACATGCTTTTAGTTGAAACACGAGCAAGGACATGCTAAGAAGGACAGAAAGAAAATGAACCTAATACAGCTATGCTTTCCTAGGCCCAAATAATTGTACCACTGGTTGAATTTCTGTTTTTTTTTGTTTTTTGTTTTTTTTTTTTTTAAGCATTAATGCCATGTGGCTTGCAGATTTTGAGGAAAAAAATTAAGAAAGGAAATTTGCTATTTACATAGCTGGATAAATATCATATGCTCCCTTATGATGGTGACTTTTCTTCCTCCCTGCTGCAAAGTCTGAACAGAAGTTGCCATGATAGAAATCCAGCAGGAGTGCACCCCAAAGGTCCCAAGGTACTGGCAGCCTGCAGCTGCTCCATGATCTTCCCAGATCACACATACAGCTTAGTGCTACCCACTGTGATTTGGCACAAGAAAGAGTCCCTGACAGTAAGTTGTGAATGCTGACAGCAGAGTTGGCCGCTCCACGAACACGCAGCTTCGTGCAGCTTCGTGCACTGCAAGCTGCAGCCTCTCCTTCTCTTTATTAGCTGCTGGTATTGAGGGTTTGGCAATGAACAGGACTGAAGTGAGCAAGAGCAGTAGAAGCTAATCTACACTCTTTTCTTTCCCTGTCTGTGTGCATCTTTTGTAGGCAGAGTTCACAGACAGCAAATTGCAGTGCTGTGCGGTGCAGTCATCTCCCAAGCTTTCGCCGGTACCGAAATCTCCTGTTCTGAGATCCCTGGCAGAGCCTGTGCCGACTCCAACAGTGCAGACAATATACATGTCACATAAACCGATATCGCTGGCGGACAGGTACTGTGCAGCTCTTTCACACTCTGTGCATAAGGGAATTGGTGAGATATCTCTTTTTCTGTCTTAACTGCAGTGGGGAAAGTTCACCTTCTTTCTAAAGTGCCTTTTTACCCCCGATACCAAAAGATTTTCAGTTGCTTCTCGATACTCAGAAGAGGTGGGTTTTGTAGGGAAGTAACTAGACCTCACATCTCTGAGGCAAGAGAAACAAAAAAACAAAACAAAACCACAAGAACTTAATTAACTGCTGCAGCCAGCAGTGTACCATTTATATAGTCAATGGCCTGGAGAGAAAAGGTTGTGCAGATTTTCCTCAGACAAGTCATTTTCCCTGAACTACGGTTTTCCTTTAATAATTGCTATATTCCAATTTGTTTTTTGATATTAAATGTCCATGGGGGGGAAGCTGAAATTAAGAAATATCTGCCCTTCTAAATAAAAAACAGACACCGGTTTTCTTGTTTTCTTACTTTGTTCTCTTGGGGTTTTTTTGTTTCGGTTTGTTGTTTTTTTTTCCTGTAATGTCAGCCTACAGTGATGTTTCTTACAGTTTCTCAGAAAAACAAGCCATTCCATCTTTCCACTGCATTCAGTTTCTATTCCTCCGTCCTATCAGTTTTGCACATTGGCTTCTTATTTCACACTTTAATCAAAGCTGAATTTCCCAATCTGATGATTTACTGAATACAAATGTAGGAGTGGATATACTCAGTACTTTTGGAACACAAAAGGTCTGAAGCTTATGTCGAATAGAAAAATATTTCCTTGGCATTATGATACGTTAGATGCTTCAATTTTGGATTTCCAGTCAATTCCCACTATCATTTGTTTAGTATTTTTGCAGATACTGGTTTAATTGCACCTGCACACTTGGTCAACACTTCTAACTCACCTTAAAATGTGTTGTTACAGTGAAAGTGTAATTGTGAAGCTGTAGTGCTAAACTAAAAGAGGGGAGATTTAGGTTAGACATTAGGAGGAAATTCTTTACTCAGAGGACAGTGAAGCACTGGCACAGTGTGCCTCGAGAAGCTGTGGGGATCCCATTCTGGGAGCTACTCAAGGCCAGGTTGCATGGGGCCCTGGGCAGCCTGAGCTGGTAAGGGCAGCCCTGCCCATGGCATGGGGTTGGAAATGGGTGATCCTAAGGTACTTTTCAACCTAAGACATTCTATAATTGTATAATTGTCCATAATGGACAAAAACTGGCAAAATGTCTCCATAATGCTTTCCAAGCATTAGCCACCGAATCCTCAGAACAACACAGTAAACTGTTGCTTTTCTTCCCAATTTTTGCTATTTATTAGAAATGGGACCAGCAGCTCAGGGCACTCCCAGTGAGAGATTTGGTGTGTGAGCAAGGACATCCAAGCTCTGCTTCCCCTACCCTGACCTGTGCATGTGAAGTAAATTCAGTGTAGGTGGATGTCTATCCAACTCACACATTGCTGAGGAGCAGAGGGCTGTAACACCGTTCTTTTGAGAGCTGGCATTTACTGTAGCTGTTTTGCTTTATTTTTTGAGTCCTCATCCAGCTCCCTTTGAAATCGGTAGCCTTTAGCAGGAGTGAGGTTAAAACATAAACAGTTTAACCATGTGGGTTTTTCTGTGTCTTTCTACTTGCTTCTGTTTGCTCTTCAGAAATATCAAGCTTTTGAATCAGCCATCAGTTATCAGCCTTTTCACTGAATTGAGTCTGACCTTTTTCCCCCTCTTTTGGTATTTCAAAAATGTTAATTATTTTAAATTGAAATCTGAGACTTATTGTGTTTCCCATAATTGGCTGTTTGTGCATTAATTACACAGCGCTGAGACTCTGAGGCGTGAACTTGAGAGAGAGAAAATGATGAAAAGACTCTTGATGACAGAATTATGAAATTCTCGCTTCCGTCTGATGGAGAATGGATTGGGGCCTTTCATGTGCCTTCTGTCTGTTTACATTCCTCTGCTTCTGTGTACTCAACATAATGCATCGGGAAAACGTGTGATATTCCTGACTCGCCTGGATTCACCACGGTTGGTTAAAATTCAGTCTTGGCTAGACTTTAACTTGAAGGAGTTCCTTTATTCGTTTGCTGCTGGGAAATAAACCTTCAATCCTTTCTCTCTCCTGAGATTTTATACTATTAACACAGTTAATTTCAGGTTTGGTTTTGGTAAATCTAGGGTAAAAAGGATCAGCAAGGAGCAAACTGATCTCTATTGGGAAACACTGTTCTGTACATATGTTAATAAGTGCACAGAAATTAATGTTATGCAGAATATTTTGATAGTAACATAGAAAATATGTCATTTTGTACAACTGAAAATTGCAATGAGCTACTGCTATTTGTTAAAGAACCGTTTTTAAAGCAGAAGAATGATTATTACTTCCTAACCCCAGGACTGTTAGTCTCCACAGAAAAACGAGTGGCTGTCTTACTAAATTCCTAACCTTAACCTTTACTCAGAGATACAAATAGCTGCAGGGGGAGGACACCTCTCCACACAGGTGTACGCACCCAACACTCCCCATAGTCTGCCTTCTCAACCTCAACCTGAAACTAAATCTTACTTTATTTCCATTAATGATTAAGAAAAAAACACCAGTTGTTTAAAGCAATTTGATACTGACTCTCTAGCTTGATACTGACTTTTTGTAACTTGGTGGGAAGTTCTAGCTTCCCCATGTTGCTGGGCACTCAGGCTTGCCCACACATAGATGGCTCCAGCTACAAAGCTTGGGCAGCACGAGTACAGCTAGCACAGCCAGGGTGCTTCCCCTCTCTGATTCACCTTCCTGCTGCATTGATTTATCGATCACATTAAAAATAATACAAATAGTTTGTGGAACAGGGTTGGGTGGGTGTTCTCATTAGCAGGACCGCAGCTTCAAGGAGTGTGTTGTGGTATACAGGTAATATGACCAACAGTTTCCTAAATTTTAAAGAGCAGTTCTCCATTTCCCCCTGTCCAGCAGTGCAGGGTTGCCTACAAAGCTACTAACAACTGACTGTCAGCTACGAGATACTATTCCAACAGGAAAGCTTTTGTGTGTTTTGTATGGCTGAAGATGTATATTTTTCTGTTACTCTGTACTCTGTGTTCTCTGGTTTGTACTAAGATAAAAGATTGTCCTTAATTTGATACTGATTACGATGGCTTTATCTCAGCTTAACCCGTTTGTTTGTGTGGAGGCTGGGAAGTGATTGCTGTGAGACTGAGTTTCCTTCAGTTAGCTTGTGCTCTTCTGCCTTCTCTTCGAGAGGAGAAATCTTGAGAGCATCACATGACTGTGGATTGCAATGTTAGAGGTATAAAATGACTTGTCTATCTTAGATTTACTGGGACACGAAATTAGCATGAGGCTTCCCAGTTAAAATCCAGCACCCCAAACCTTTCCGGTTACCGGTGAAATGGGGACAAATAAACAGTACAACTGTGAGGTAGAAATCTGCAATGCAAAATGCAATGATATAGCTCAACATCAGGAATGGGCACAAGGAGTCATAGAAACACACCTGGACTGCAGATTTCAGAGCACTCCGATGACATTGCTGGGTAATCAGACACAACCTGTATGCTGTCTGTCTTCTGGTTATGGTGCCAAGGCGAATGTTTTCATGTACTTCTCCATCAGTCTGAGGTTATTAAAAATGAATTAGGAACATTAAATTGCTGTGAAGAGATCAGAAAGGAAGGGAACATGCAACACACATCAAAGTCTGCATCTTCTGTCTCCCATTTCTCCTTGTTCACCACTTCTCTAAAGTTCCCGATGGAGGGAGGAGCAGCAGCACCTTTGTCCACATCCAAACAGAACTGAGCACTGGAAAGAACAAATAAACAAAAACTCTAATTAGAGATCCTGTTTCAGGAAAGTAAAGTAGGTTTGCAAATGGCACAGCACTGGCCCTATCTGGACCTGGTCTGCTACCTGCAGTTAGGCAGTGCCCACTTCCATGTGATCTGGTGGCTGTTTCACAAAGTCGTCACTGAGAGAAAAACAAAGGAAATCAAATTTGAGTGCACGCTTTGGTTGTACTGATTGCCTTGGAATGGACATTGAGAACCCTGCAATGTGCCTTCAGGTCTGGGGGTAAACATCCAGTTCCCTGCATTAGGGCAGTCTGGTCACATACACAAAAGCCTTTAGTAAAATGGAATGCCTGACTCAGACCAGCCCTTCTGATTTTCTTGCTCATCAACAAGCTATTAGTTTATTTTTTTAAGTGCAGCCTTTTACTTCTGTTGTCTAAAAATTCTTACGCTAAATTATTCAGAACCGGAAAGCAAAAAATGTGAACCAAGGTGACTTTGCAGTGGTCCATGTCCCCACAGCTGGGGCTGCTCTGGCCTAGCTGATCTCCTCTGTCCCCCCAAATGGAGAGGGAAAGGCTCATGTGGTCACTCAGTTCCAGTGGGGCATTTCCCAAAAACCCCCACATACGTTGCCTTGTCTTGTTTTAGTGTCTTATCTACTGGCTGCCACTGTTTCCTGTTCTGCAGTCTAATGGAGCTTTATTTAACGCATTAGACTGATACTGAACTAAACTTTTAGCTGCATAATGCCATCATGTTGTTCTTTCTTATTATGTATTTTCTTCAGCCACGCCTAAGCATTTCAGTTTCTACATCCTTTGAATATCAAACACTCCTGCCTCGCCTCCAGTTGGAAATCATAACTTTAGGACACCTGCGATCCAAACTACAGCAAACAAGACAATGTCAACATGAACATATGCTGGGGGCATATAGTCTAGGTTTGCCCCTAGGCTTTAACTTTACAGGTGTGAAAGGATACTCTGCCCAAAGGAATGTCTATAAAATAGTGCAGAAGTATCTGAGCTAGCTTTAATGAGCTTGCATATGTAGTTGTGGCAGCATGAAGCCCAGCACAGGCTATCATTATCATGTACATTGACACATGTAAAGATAACACATTTAAACAGCAGCCTTCTGAAGCATGGTCTCCAGAGCTAGTGACAGAACGGGGTGGCTGGAAGGAAACCTGCCCTCCAGCCTTCCAGGGACAGAGTTCATCTCACCTAATGCTATATGTCCAGCTCTCACCTGCAGAGAGATCCAAGGGACTGCCTTCCAGAGGTGCCTCTGACTTCAGTGTCTACTTTTAAATTGCTTATAGTTAAGTGAGATGAATCCTGCCCTCTGTCCTTCTGGTTAGGCCTACATTGCAAGCCCTTGCCAACAAGGCTACACCATCCAGGGGTCCTTTGAGATTCGATTTGTGACCAGCATAGCTCTGTAAGCAAGAACTAGCTCATTAGATGTAAATATGCCACCGAACGCCCTGTTGTCAGAACAGCTTTCTTCCCTCACGGGGGGGGGGGGAGCAAAGAGCTGGGACAGCCGCCACTGGCTGGAGCTGAGAGGCATCAGCTGGTGTTATGAGACCAGGACAGCTGGGGACGCTTCCTGTATGGACACACTGGCAAAGCCTCTGGGGCTCCCGGCTTTCAGCAGAGCCCAACAGGGCGCCCTGACCTGGCAGGCAGAGCTCTGCTTTCAAGTGTGGAGTTGCCAATTGGCAGAATGCAAGGTTGTCATGCTTCAGTGATTCAAGCAAAATTTAGTGGCCAATTCAGCAGCTATGCAAGGAGTTAAATATTTTCTCATATTGCAATCTCTTATGGAAGCCAACAAGCCAACCAATTGTGGCTCGTTTTTGTGTGGTTCAAGTGTTTTCACTATTTTGTTTAAAAGGGGATAATGGGGTTTTCAAGATCCCCGGTCTCAATCGGATCCCACACTGTGTGCAGACCTCTTACATTCAAATGTACTCAGCTCTCCTGGAAATGCAGTGTTTGAAAATTAACTCCTGGGAAGCTTTAGCTCGTGGCTTCACATCTCTCTTGATACAGGACCCTATGTGCTCATGAAACAGAGCTGGCAATGCAGGGAAATGTTTCATTGGAGGCAGCACCGTGTTTTGTTTGAACTGTTTATGAATATCATTTGTTTTTCTTTTCTTTTTTCTGTTTATTCTTCTGAATACATTTCTGGTTCATTGGCTACAAAAACCTACTCGTAATTATGCAATGGAATATTGTTTCCTTCTTTTCTTCTATTTTCTTTTCTTTATTTCTTTTTTTTTTTAATTTTGATGTCCTGATGTTTAAGGAGTTTGCAATAAATATACTGGTGCTGATCTGTAATTGCATGTAAGATCAGCCTCACAACTGTGTTTTGTAAAGTTAAGTGCCGTAAAAGAACCCATGGGAAGGAGAAGGAAGAGAGGGAGTGAGGGGAGGAGAAAGCTTCTCTGGCAGCTGCAGCCTAGGCTGGTGGGCAGCAGCTTTAAGGAAAGATTGCTCACCCCGTTTTGTTCCATCTGGGTAGCAGCATGTATCACCAGACAGTGTGTGATGGCATTTTGTTGAAAACATGCCTGGAGAGAAACTTTTACGGCTCAGCTGTTTACCTGTTCCTGTATTCATGCCTGCAATAAATGAGATGAAAAATAAATCACGGAGTCTGAGCAATTTGTAGTCAGATCAGTGATTCAGGAGGCATGGGACCTCCTAAACATGTATATAACCTTCCATGAACACATACATAAGGGAAACACGTGGTCAAGTTGTATGTGCTGGTTATCTGTGGGCCCTCAGTAGGGCACACTGCTGAACTTCACAGCAATGGAACCTTGGTCAGACCAAGGCAGAGCTACATGAACCATGGCATGCTGCTGGTGTCTGAGCTGGGTCCCCAGTGTAGCAAAAGGCATTGCTGGGATGCAGGGCTGGGGATAAGGCATCCACTGCACTCAGGGCTGAGAGACCCCAACTTCCTGAGCTGCTCTGTGAAGGAAAATGCAATAGATACATAAATATGTTAAAAAGTATTCTAAAATATAATTGTGAGTAGTTTTTGTTTAAACACAATTAAAACATTTCACTTAGATTTTGTCCTTGGTCTTGCCAGCCTTTCAGTCTAATGGAAAGGTGCTTCAGAATGAAACATTTCTACTTTTGTTCAGAGATCTCTAAATTAGGACATTTTCACATTCACTTTCCCAATGCATTTATGAAATGAAATCCCAGTAATATTCACCCCATTTTCTGAGGCTGCCAAAACTCTGTACTGGGAAGGAATACGATCCCATCACAATTTCTCCAGCTGGGTGTTCATCTATTTTTAATCTCTATACAGGGAAATGCAAAAGATCAATGTTCTTCCATCAGCACTCAATTTATACCAAGAAAATTGATTATCCAGCCAGAAAATCTAGTTAATTAATTCCCCTTAAGATCTGTCTTTACTAAAAAAAATAGTGTTCTGGGGTGCAGGGGATGAGCAGCTGTGCACTGAAAGGCCGCCTAACACACCTGTGTAACTTGGCTGGGACTATGAAGCATGAGGGCTGTAGAGATATAAATCTGAAACATTTCTTGTTTTATTATCAAGTGACTGATCGTGGACGTGAGGTCATTAAGATCAAGTCTCTTTCTCAGGGGGTGTGCTTTCTAGAGTAGAAAAGAGACATTGCACAGGAGCTATTAACTTTGAGGGAAGATGAGGCCATATCTGGCAGCCCACCCATGCTGCACAAAGCCTATTGTGGGTCAGGAAGATGCCCGTGCAGATGCAGGTTGGTGAAGCAAGCCCCAGCCCTTGTGAGATGCCATAGCCATGTTCTTGCCACCCTCAGTGAAGCCGTTGGGTGGCCAGCACAGGGATCCCCACATGCCTAAATTCAATTTAACCTAAAGAAGAACCCTACAGCAACCCTCCCGCCCCAGGGCTGGCTGTCACCATACCTACGGAAGAGATCATACAATCGCAGAATATCCTGAGTTGGAAAGGACCCATAAGGATCACTGAGTCCAACTCCTGGCTGCATACAGCACCACCCAAAAACCAGACCATATGGCTACTAGTGGTGTCCACACACCTCTTGAGCAAGCTCCAGCAAGGCTGGTGCCATGACCTGTGGAGCACGCTCCAGTGCCCAACCAGCCTCTAGTGAAGAACCTTTTCCTCATATCCAGCCTGAGATGCCAGGGAATGAGGAAATTCATAGTAGATCAGCCACTGCCCTCCAACCGCCCAGAGCAGATTAATGGGAGCATCCCATCCCCTGGTGGGAGGTAAGGAGAGCAGCCTTGCCCTTTTTGTAAGAAGCCAGGCATGAGATCTGCAGAGCTGAGGCATCAGACACCTTTTGCAGCTCCGACCATCACAGCTCTTTCCTGTGCACTGTCAGCAGCACATACAGCATATGGGGTGGCTGTGCTCCAGGCTCTAAGGCTGTGATGGTCAGGGGAAGAGGAGGGGAAAGCAACAGGGAGAAAGGGAGCAGCAAGCCACCCACACCATCTGCTGCTGGTGCCCTGACAGCTAAGCAGCCCCTAAAGAAATGTTTGCCTTTTTAGTTTATTATATAACAGCACATGTAAAACTGCACTGTTACATATGCAATTGATATTAGTTATGTATAATTGTATATTTTCAGTGTATGTGAAATACAGTGCCAGTGACCACCCATCAGAGTATCTGGCACAGCATCTCACAGTAGGGATGTGTAAAAGCCACATGGATTCTACTGCTCCATGCGCTGATTGCCCTGCTTTGCAATGGAGAGCTGCTCACCCTCCCACACTGCTCTCCCTCTGCCTTCCATCAGCAAAATCTTTTGGACATGCAAGAAGAACAGCACAAATTCTTTGGTTTAAAGAAGATATTTACCCACTGATGCTTAACATCACAGAGCCTAATGATTTGAAGAACTCAAGAATCCTTTTTTTAAAAAAAAAAAAAATTGCCTTGCTGTTTTCTAGAACAACAAAAATGAGATTTCTGTGCTAACCTGCTCTGGCCAGGCTGGGTGGGTCCTCTCTATATGCCAGGATTGGCAAGGGCAAAAGTGGCTTGGCAGGAAGAGAAAAGGGTTTTCTTTTGGAGTGGACTGTAGGTACCCCAGCATCTCCATCTGACCTGCTTCCATGCTGCCTGGGACACTGTGACGGCCAGAATGCCACCATGAGGGACTTCTAGTGACTTCACCATGAGGGAACATCATACTACTATGTCAAACTTTAAACCACAGAAAATAAATGTGGGATGGGGTGAAAGACATTAAGGCCCTGCAGCATGTCTGGAGAAAGGAAATGAAGGTGTGAAGGGTCTGTAGCACAAGTACAGAGAGGGGCTGAAGGAACTGGGATTATTTACTCTGGTGAGAAGGAGGCTCAGGGAGACGTTATTGCTCTCTACAATAACATGAAAGGAGATTGTAGCATGGCTGGGGGGAGGGAGTCAGCCTCTTCTCCCAGGTGATGGTGATAGGAGTATGTCTTCAAGCTGCACCAGGGGATTGGATGTTAGAAACAATTTCTTCTCAGAAAGAATAAAAGAATAGTGAGATATCGAAACAGGCTGCCCAGAGAGGTGGTGGAGTCACTGTCCCCAGAGATGTTCAAGAAATATGTCAGTGGTGCACTGAGAGATAGGTTAGTGGGCATGATGGGGAAGGGTTGGACTAGATGATTGTAGTGGTCTTTTCCAACTGTAATTATTTTATGATTCAATGTCTCATTTCTCCATAAAGCCAAACTGCCAACTCATTAATCTCCATCAGGTGCTCCAAAGTAAGTGCTCTTTTCCCAAAGCAACACAGCTGGAATTAATCTTGCAACATATAGTGTGAAATAAATCACAAGGGCAGCACAGGCTGGATGCTACTCTCCTTCTTTTACTTTTTTAATAGGAACACAACATCTCACCTGCCAAACCTGAACTACGGTTGTGGAAACAAAATCAGTAACAAAGATCTAGGTTTGCCCACCTGGTCTCACAGGAGAAATACCATTAAACCACAGTGAAGCTATATTAATTGTTGTTTTTTTTTTCCTTTGTGTGTGTGTGCTATGAAAAACAAACAGACAAACCAACAGAAAAAAACAAACAAACAAAAAAAAGCCCACAAAAATCTGGTCTGCAGAGCAGCACCTAGCAAGCCATAGTTGCTAAATATCTTTCTGAAAGGAGGGAAACCATCTTCCAGCATACAGAATGGTATTTCTCAGCAATGCACTTTCATCCACTTGCAAGATATCCAGCTCCCATCCTACCCCACCAACTCAACTTTGGTTTCCCAATATGGAGAAAACTGCTGGTGCTCCCACTGGTAGTGTGAAACATCCCATACAAGCTGCCCTGTGCCTGTCCAGCTCAGCTTACTCAATGCTGAAAGATGTGGGTGAGCTGCTGTGTTAACTGCATTTGAAGGATCCTACCATAAAACAGTGTGAGGTCAGCAATGAATTAAAAAAAAAAAGAGTGTGTCTTCGTAGATCTCAGCAGCCTTGTCTCCCAGCTGTATGCGTTACATATGAATGCAGCAGCAAAAACTCCAAGCTCCTCTTTCTATGGATATCTTAATCCCAAAAGAAACTCTCCTGCAACACTGAATTTGTTCGGGCAATCTCCTCATGCCTGAGAGGAGCCTTACAATGTGTAGGACTTCTCTCCTTGGAGCATCCCAGGGCAGTTCCTGTCTCCCCTGGCAGCTCCTGGCCATCCTGTTCTGGCACTGCAATCTTTATGGGGAGAGCTGGCACAGCTCCTTTGGCACATCTTGTCCTAAAGTCCAATTAGTGTTGTTTATGCTCAGATAGTAACTGAAAGGATAAAAAAAGTTATGCTTCAGTTGGTCAACAAGAGCGAGGGGATAAATGTAATTAAAATAAATGCAATATATTGTGAGATGCTACCATTTAATTAAAAGTATATGAATTATGCATGTGTCTCTCCTACAGCCTGTAAATGTGGGCTCAAGCAGTTGCTGATACGCTCATTCACGCTAGCACCCCATGCAGCACACGGCTGCTTAATGTCCCTCTCACATTCTGTACAAATCTTTAGGGGTAAATAAGAGCATACATGGGGTGTCTGCACTTACTGCTTTTCCACGTTCTCAGGCAGCCAGGCTTGGACCTCATCCCACCACCTTGGGAAGATGGAGAACACCTTTTGGGTACCTCATACAATATCAGCCCCCAAAATCATGCCCTTTAGTGGCATACAATGGCCCAAAGGGAAGCAGTAGGGAAGGGACCAGGAGAACAGTAGATAACTCACAGGGCTGAGATATAAGTAAGAATCTCAAAGGAGGAAAGAGCTCAGCACTCACAGCTCCTCAGAGCCAGCACTGCCCCATGTTCCTCAGGGCTGGGCTAAGCTGCCAGCAATCTGATGGCAGGCCCTTCCATTAGTATGGAAGAGCATCCTCCTGTAAACAATCTGCTGTCCTTAGAAGTAAACAGGAAGTCTTTCCCATCAAGGCAGACAGATGCTCTTTGCGGAGCTGCCATGCCCATCACAGCAGATTGCATGCAGGGCTATGCCATCCATCTTCTTCTAAAGGCTGCTTCCCTCTCAGCTCATCTACCAAATGCAGTGAGCAAAGTGCCGGGAGAAAAAACAGATCCCATTATTATT